AGAGGAAGGGGAGGGTGAAGAGGAAGGACAGAGGGAGGACAGAGGGAGGACAAAGAAAGGACAGAGGGAGGACAAAGGAAGAACAGAGGCAGGGCAGAGAGAGGACAGAGAAAGGACAGAGGGAAGACAGAGGAAGGACAGAGGAAGACAGAGGGAGGACAGAGGAGGACAGAGGGAGGACAGAGGAAGGACAGCGGAAGGACAGCGGAAGGACAGAGGAAGGACAGAGGGAAGACAGAGGCAGGACAGAGAGAGGACAGAGGAAGGACAAAGGAAGGGCAGAGGAAGGACAGAGGGAGGACAGAGGGAGGACAGAAGAAGGACTAGTTTTCTATAAATCGTTGTCAACAAACGTTCATACTAAAAAATAATTACAGATATCAGAGCAACATACTGAGTGAATAGGCGCTTCATTCTTGTCGTATATTTCTTATAATTATTTATTTAAATTGTTTATTAATTATATTATTAATAATATTATTACGATATTTTAAGTTTCCTCCATTAAAAGTGCAAGCTTGTTGCGAGAAGTGAGTGAACGCGTGTTGCTAGTGATTCTCAGGCAGAGCCAGAGCTGAGAAGCCGCCTGCACCCTGAGTGTCAGAGCTTCCTGCCTCCTGCGCAACAACGTTGAGCACTGGCTCTGTGCACGCAGGGTATAGGGCATAAGTAGCTGGTGTTCATCTGGTAAGCATCAGGGGGAGGAAGGGGAGGGAGGAGGGGGAGGGAGAGGAAGGGGAGGGAGGAAGGGGAGCATGCAGCATCTGCCCCCCCCCTCCCCAGCTGCCTTTCTTCCGCCACCAAAAAGAAGAAGCCGGATATCTCATATCCCGTTTGCGAAACCGGATTTTTATTTTCGCCCGAGAAAGCTTCACCATCTGACAGCATTGCTCCACCGCACCCTCACCCCTCCCACCCCCACAACCACACCTCGCACCCCAAGCTGACTCACAGTGTGTGTGCATGTGTTGGTGTTCGCGTGGGGCGGCGCGTTTCTAAGAAAGTGCGTTCTGTTGTGGTTGGCAGTTGGCTAAGTCTCAGCTGGCAGCTGAGCGGCTGAGCCCGTAACGGCAGCTACTGGTAGCAATGTGAGTGAGGGAGAGAAGGCTGGTAGGAGGTTAGTATGCGGTGGGCCTGTGTGGCGCAGAAATATTTCCACGCCCAGAACAACTGTAACAACAGCCACAACGTCCTTCAAAACATCGGCAAGGGCAAAGCATGGCATAGAGAGGGATTAACGACATGGCTAGAGGACGGAAAAATTAACTCGACCGTGTAATTGTACGCATTTATTTTTAATAATTTGAGCACGCGGTGGGCATTAATATCAATATATCGGGAGTAAATCAAATAATATGCTTTATATCGATTCCTGAATATACCGGTAACTGTCTGGAGCATATAAAGGTACAGAGCTAATGACAGGGGGGGTAGGTAAGTGCAGCCGATCATAAAGCAAGCAGGTGCCATCATGCGAGTGTGACAGATACATCACACTTGCTATATATTATAAGTGTAGGCACATATAAAGATATATATATATATAAACATACATAGGGGTAGCAATAAGTGTTTTGTCGCCGGATGTTGTGTTGAGCGGGCAAATGTTAAACGTTGCACAGAGTGCGAGGCAAGTGAAAAATAACAAGGAAGCTGATTCATAGGGTCGCACCCATTATTTTCCCCGGGGGAGGGGGAGGCAGTCGGGCAAACCACGTAAAAAACCATATATAAGATATGAGTATGATATACATGTTTGTCATATAGCATTACATAAAAATGTTTAGTAAAATTGTTCTTTTCATGCTCAAGGCCTGCAGCTACTACTAGCATGCTAACATTCCTTTATGAACTTCTTGTAATAAAGTATAATTAGTATGCTCATGCATGCAATACTTTGTAAAACTGTTTATGCCATATACCTGTTTGTGCCATCACTGAACTATGCTACCATCACAGTATTGTAGATATTCTGTATAATGTATAACGTAATGTACATGTGTTTCTAGAAAATAATTTTTTTTTAATTTGATTTATTATTTTTTATTAATTCTTTTATTAAAGGACATTATAAAAAAAAGCGTAGGACATGTACTTACGGATCGCTTGGGCGCGGAAGCAGACGACCGAGCTCCATGATACGATCGTTGATGTTGTACCGCCGCTTTCGCTCGACTAAAACAAACAAGAGAGCATATCTACGTAAGAATGGGCGGGAGAAAAAACCCACGACCTCGTTAGACTTTGCTCCCCTCAAACATTTAACTTGCCGAGCGCAGGGTGGTGAGTGCAGTGGGAGTTTGCGAACCGCGTGCAACGTTTAGCAACCGCATAAAAGCATCGAGTCGACAGTGGGGGTCGTGCAAGACACCGACTCCGCCAGTATCAACCCCCTCCTGCTGTGCAACCTCTCTAATATTTATCTAATATTTATTTGATTTTTTATTTGAACTATCAAACTATCTACCAACACTTCCACTAAGGTCAGGGTCCACGCACGCATAAAATCCATCGCCAGCATCAGCAATAAAAAGCGGTTGAGCAGAGTTTGGCGACGGTGCGCTGTGCACTTGTGGGAGGGAGTGCAAATACCCTTCTATCGGTAGCTAGCAGGCGAAGCTGCGATAAGATACTTCGTATTTCCACACGACTTTTCAAAGCGGAACCAGGGAGAAAGCACCACTTGCATCACTAACCAACCCATCCCTCCCCAACCGACAAGTCCAGACTGTCAGATCTATCTGTTGCTCAGGTGCAATCTGTGTGGGAACTCTGTCGCAGGAAAGGGGGCAAAATAGGGGGTTAAAATAATAAAGGGTTGAAACTTGAATAGAATCATGATGACACTCCCAACACCCGCTCTAACGTGCTGCATACTAACTGGGGTTAATAATGGCCCTTAATAATAATAATGGCTTAATAAGTGTCATTATGACATTGTTAATTAAGTTCATTGTTATAATCCAAAACATGAATAAGTTCTTTTTAACCAACGTTTAAAATTATTGTTTGGTTAAAAAGAACTTATTCATTTAACGTCATTACGACAATTCGTCATTATCAACCCCCGATACGAAAAGTCCACGTGTACAAATCCAACCGCGTCGCCACGGTAACCGACAGATCGGCCGTTATGAGAGACTCACTCTTGTTGTGATTGTCCTTCTTCTGCCGGTCCTTCTGGATGGCGCGTATCTGACCGTCGGACAGCTCTAGTGGCTCCTGCTTGATAACGAGGTCCGTGGGGCATGACGACGACGGCGGGCTCAGGTTGTACGCGTCGCCCATCAACGTCGACGAGGGCACCTGGTGGCGACGACGAGAAACAAAATTATTATCCCGGATTTCACTTCAAGAAGTAATTCAATTTTAAGTGCAATGATCTTATTTGAAAAATGCAAAGCGGAAAGTAAAGGTGGAAGTCAATTGGAAGTAAATTAATTTGGAAAGTAAACGGGAAGTAAATTGGAAGTAAATTATTGGATTGGAAGTAAATTGGAAGTAAAATGGGTCCGAGGTAAATTATTCTTATTACATAAATAATTTAAACGATTTAGTGATATTTAAACATCTACAGTGGAAACTTTGCGGCGCACTTTAACTCGTTTTTCGGAAAAACCCGGTTTCGCTACTGCTGCCTAACTGACACGAACTTTAAACTTCGCGAAATCCCGCACCCGCTTGCTATTTCATCGGGGGAAAGACATTGGGCGTACACTACTCCTTTCTACCTCCTGCGTCCCTGTATTGGGACAATCCAACCAAGCAGCTAGATTCTTTGAGTATTTACTGTCGTGTGAGTGAAGCAGTGGCATCATCCGACTGCTGGTAATATTAGATAACTCACTAATCAGTTGCGGCCTATTCAAATATCATCCCTAGCATTAGTGTCAATGTGACAACATCGAGCAAAGACCTAATGCTAGCTTACGTTAGCCTGTGTTGTCTGTAGGCTGTACATGTCTTATCTTTCTATCATTTACTCCAGTACCACTCCCTGCTTCTTCTCAACTTCATGTGCCTTCTCTTTCTTTCCCACTGGCCCTCTCTCTTTCTCTTCCTCCCCCCATCTCTCTTCTCCCCGTCGCTCACTTTTCTGTTATCCTTCTTCATTACTTCCCTCTTCCTGTCCACCCTTAATAGTGAAAACTATATCTCATAGTTGTAACTATATGTTATAGTTATAATTATAACTTATCTTACTATAAATTGGGGATTTTCTGTGTGTGTGT